AGGCTACAAGTGTATTAAAAAGAAATTTATAAATTGGAAAAGACAAATATTTGAATAAAACCAAAAATAGTTATAACTTTGTTACTCCTGCGAATTAAAAGTGAGTTTATATTTATCTTTTAAGTTACTATCACCACCTTTTGTTTTTATAATGGAAGCCATAATTGTTTCTATTTAATCATGTAAAATACCAATATGAAAATCAAAAGATGGTTATGGTAACTCAAAATCTAGTAGACGAAAAAAATTAAAATGTAAATAAATGTGTGAATGAATGTGAATCTTACTTTTTCAAAATTAAAATTCAAAAGTACGACGTAACGACGATTTTTGGTTTTGACACGTTTTTAATTTTTTTAAAATTTTTTACAACCGCAAATTTTTTCCCAATTTTTAAATGCTATTTTAATAGACTTGTATGAACGCAACTTTTGTCTAATTTAACCGACCTTGTAGCTCTTCAACTAAAAAAAATACCCATACATAGAAGGATACTTGGGACCTTGTATATACAGATTTAAAGTGATGTAGCTAAGCGAAAACTGGTCCTGGGTCCAGGGCCCCGCTTGAACGAACAGCCCCCTCATCGGTGGATCGGACGTAAATGGCTTCATCAATTTGGCACTTCAAACACGTTCAACCGCTCTCACAGTCTCTTTCTCTGGGGCTTTATAAAAGATAAAGTTTATGAGCCCCAAGATTTGTAAAAACTAAAGACACGAATTGGAACTGCCATTGATGAAATTACCACTGAGACCCTTCGGTTGGTATGGAAAACGATGTTTGCAGCTGGAGGAGGTCATATTAAACACTTGTAAGCATACAGTTCAAAACTTGATTATATTACAAATGTTTTGTGCTTTCCATGTTTTGTTTTTACATAAATATAGCATTTTAAATTTTTGATCTACAGGGTGATAATCTTTTACAGTATTTTCATAATTATTTTATTTGTTCTATCTGAAAGTCTGACATTTTTAACGTACATAAAAAACTAGACAATTCATAAGCAAACCTTTTAAAGAAATATTTTTAAAGTTTTACAATATAAATTGATTTTAATTTAATTAATTTTAGCTTTTGCGATAATGGAACAATTAGAGAAGATTTATCCTGCATGAAGAAAAAGAATGAAAGACAACTTTACTCGTCAATCCCAAACAGAAATATTTGACTTCCAAATTTTTTTAATAATAGGTACCTAGATATTTTTTTTCATTTAGAATACATTTTTAGTTACAATTAGGGGTGTGTGAATATTTTTACCAAATTAATTAACTAGTAATATTTAATTCAAACTTAAAATTAAATATTCAAACTACATGAATAGTTTGACTTATTTGAATAGTTAAATAATTACAATCATATCTATTCAAATATGATAATTAAGGGTTAATGACAAGTAAATAACATTCAAACTTTTTATTTAAAAATAAATTTTAAATTACAATTCCAATGTTCCATTTCTTCAATTACTATTTGAAAATTTTAATTTTCTTATTGAAACATTCAAACTATTCAAATAATTCTTAAATTCAATATTCACACCTCCACAATACAAATATAAAAAAAGTAAAAGCCTTGACCATGGTCAATGCATTAAAGATAGTACACTTTTATTTTTTACTACAGATATAATTAAATTGTTTATTGTTAAAACAAGCAATCTGACATTTTTATATTACATACACTTCTGCTTTAGATTATTATTTAGCAAGATACACATTAGGATATTAAAAAAGGATATTTTCATGTTAAAACAGCACAAGTTCACCATTAATAGTTTTTATAAGATTTTTAAACTAAAAAATAAAGAAAATCATATTTAGTTGTCACTTCCCTTGTTTTTACAATAAACCATTTAATTATTTTTGTGCTGGTAAAACAATTACCTTTAGCATAAATAAGTAGCATAAATATTGATTATTTTTATTTAATTTTAAAAATTATTAGGTAATATCAATCTTTTTACAATTTAAATTGATTTTAAAATTGATAGGTATTGATTTCAGGTTTCGGTTTGTGTTAATGGAAGAAGTAGACAGGACTTGAATTTATCAAACTTCTTTGCAAAAGTACATAGAAAATATTAATTGCAGTTAAATATTCTTCATTAAATAAAGAAAAAGATGCAGGTTCAATCCATGAATCATGAACAGGAAAAAAGAAAATTAATACTTAATATTGACCAGAAAGTTAAATCATACATAAAGATTTTAATTTTGCCGAATACATAATTAAAATATTTTTAACATTGAGATTAAAGTGGTTCTATTGATTATTAATTTAAATTAAACCAATTTTACTAAAAATTAAATATTCCAAAGAATGTAATTTAATTTTTGGATAAGTAGGAATTCCTTTTTTGCCAAAAATTCTATATTTTACAAAACTACAGTATTGTGCTTATTTAAAAAACAAATTATAATCATAATTCCTAAAAATTATAAGAGTATGGTTTGTAATAAGTCTAATTATTGCATTAAACATTTAAGGCATTAGCCTTTTGGTTTATTCCAATAAAGAAATTTAATACCACATTAAGATATCTGAAAATACCTATAGGGTATACAATAAGTCAGTATGTATTACAAAATTATTTATTTTTATGAATTACATATTCAAAGTTAAAATAATTTTAATTATATAATATACTTAAACTGTTTTTTAAAAGGTTGTTTTCTAATAAGGACCAATAAGTATTGAACTATTGTTTATCAAGAATTTATTAAATATTTTGATGGTTTGTAATATGTTTTAGAGTTAATTTGTTTAATAAACCTTTGCATTTTTATTAAGAAATCTTAAAAAACCTACAAAAATTGTTATTATGTGACACAAAATTAAAATTTCTGAAAATTATCGCTGTAATCAAGCGATAATTGTCTTGTAGGCATATATAAGAGGGTAATTATCAATTTAATGTCATACTTTTTGATAAATTATACCTAAATAATTATAAATTATTATACATGTTTGATAAACCTTTTTTTAAATTTCACTAAGTTATAGAATAATTAACTTTGAATTTCTCCTCATTTAAATATTATTTGTTAGTACATTCCTGTATCGAAGTTTGTGCGCGAACCATCTAAGAAATAAGGTTGGCTAAAAATTAACATGTAGGTACTAAGGGTAATATACATCCACTTGTACTTTTAAGTACGGGGCATTCAGAGCAATTCAGGGATACAAAATAAAAAAAAAAATACTTTAGTAAATAAGTTTGTTAATTTTAACCGGTTTTACTTCTTAAAATTGTGAGTGTGTTCCTGATCAGGGTGACTAGTTCATCCAAAATGTTGTCAGCCTAAAAATTGGGATACTAACTTAACAGGAAAACAGGCAACAATTGATCATTGCAGAAGGCAGCGTGCGTGGGTGAAGGGAAATCAAGTGGGTGCGTCGCAATATTATATTATTGTATTATATATATTATATAATATACACATAAGCTCACGTAAGCAAAGCTTGGAGGATGGAGAAAGTAAATGGGCAAAGCCCCCACGCGAAGGAAGTGGTAGGCCATCTATTGGGGCATGCGTTGCACGCCCGACATAGGGGCCGGGTTTCAAATTGATGCGATACACCACAGGGCCGGCTTATCTATTTTGTATATTAATATTTTTATTTTTAAATTAATTTGAAAAAAATAAGTAAGAAGGCAAAGATATAAATAAATGAAAACGGTATGAACACTAATATAGCAATAAAATAAATAAAGAATATACAAGGTGGGTAGCCGGAACTTCCGGAATCCGACCCGGAGACGGACACAGAAACTGACGAACCGGAAGTAAACCAACAAAGATAGGAGTAAGAAAATAACTAACATACCCACCCCCCATTCACGAATACCAATTGAATGGGGGCACTACTAAGGCCTAGGTTGAGGAGGATTCTGGATTGTACTTAGTTTTGGGTCAGTTCAATGTCCTCCAAAAACCCTCCCTAATCTGGACGTATGGCCCGACCCGGCTGACAAAAATTCCGGGAGCGGCCTTAACCTTTGACATTGTCTTCCACAACCTCCTAGGGCGGATCAACCAGCCGGCGTAAAAACCTCGGATCCAACAAACACAGGTAATGCTGTGATTTGGCGGGATACGCAGGAGAACGAAAAGGGGGTAAAATATCCCCTGGAGATCGTGGAAGATAATATATCTGGGGCCTGCCATACGTTCCCATACTCATACTCATACTCATACTCATTTAAATATTATTTGTTAGTTATACTTTAATTTAAAATTGAATTAAGTGTATACATATTTTTTTAAATATATTTATTTAAAAAAAACAAAAATGTGTGTTTTTTCACTTAATTAGTGGAAAATAACCGAAAATTGTCGAAATTTTATATTTTTTGATTTTTAATGGACAATATTACGTATCACCTCAAATTTTTTTTTATACCATTTAGCATCTACTTTCCAAAAAAAAGTGAAATCCTACATTGGGCACTTTTTCAATAAAATCGATTTTTTGCATTTTTAAATATAAAAAATAGTTTATATTGAGATTTATAGATTACAAAGCTATTAATGTATATTAATACAGTAATAGAATACCATTTTGTGCAATAATTTAAAAAAATTAAACTTCCATTATTTTTATTTTTATCTCGATAAATTTAAAATTTTTATAATAAAATAAAATATTAAATAATAACCATTTAACGGTTAAAAAGTATTTCCTACTACGCATGATAGTTTTTTTGCACATAGTAGGCTTTGAAATTAACAAAAAAACAACAATAAAACAACCTAACAATTCAAAATTTGACAGTACTGATAATTCATCGCGACCGACAGTGCTTGCAAGCTTGACTATGTTATTTAAAATACTTAAAAATCACCCGCGTACTCATGAAGAAAATCGTCATGTGGTATGCTTACTATGTTTTAGTAAGTCTAAAGTAATGATAGGCATTCGGCCAGCACTCAAAAAAAAAATTGAAAACTTCTTTCCAAGTTATAATTCAAAAAATGACTGCGTTCCAGTCGTGGTGTGCGCGGCGTGCAAAAGAAACTTATATCGTTCAAACCTAAGAAAAGAACAAATAAAGCCAATCGATTTTTCTCAATTTCGTTTAACAAGAAGCACAAGTTCAAGAGATAAAGTGTGTGAGTGTCACTTCTGTAAAATAGCAAAAACATTTGGGAAACGTGCACCCTTACGACAGAATGTTTTTTCTATCAAGAAGATTAAGACCATTAAAAAGAAAGAAGCACCAAGTAGCGACCGGCGGCGCTGTTCTGTTTGTTATACCTTGTATGGAAAGGGTAAAAGACATATTTGCAAAAGTTCGGACCCTGTGGAAAATATCAAGAATTGTGTTAAATCGTTGGAAACAAAACAAAAAGAACAAATTGCTGCATTGGTATTAAAGGATATAGTTAAAAATAAAAATGACTTAGATCATGATAAAAAAAACATTGCTTTAAGTCAACAAAAAGGTGGACAGAAACTAAATATTTATATCGGAAAACAACCCAATAAAGTCAAAAAAACGCTTTTGAGTGTAGAAGATTTTATAAAAATTAAGACTAGCTACAATTTAAGTTATAAAACCACATGTGGTATTGCCTCAGCCCTCCGAATTGCTACAAATAATTTAAAAGTAATAGAACCTAATATGAAACTTAAGCTTTTGGATGTAAATCGAAGATTAGATGACTATTTCAGCGTAAACAAATTTAATTTTGTTAAAATAAAAGTTAACAAAGTATCAGACGCAGCTCAGACTGTGGTATATTGCAGTGATTTAGAACACATTAAAACCCAACGGCAAAACTCTGATGTTCATCTTAAATTTGGCATAGATGGAGGCGGCGGTTTTTTGAAAAGTTGTCTATCTCTGCAGTCTACATCACAAATTGAAGCAGACATAAATCGAAAATCGCACCGTCAATTTTACAAGGAGGGGATTTCCTCAAAGAAATTTAAAGATTCTGGTGTAAAAAAGTTATTTATACTTGGTCTAGCGCCTTGCTATCAAGAAAATTACGAGAATGTTTTCCAGTTATGGCAGCAACTTAAGATAAGTAGCTTTAGTGGAACTTTAGCAACAGATTTAAAGCTTGCTAATATAATTGTGGGTATAATGTCACACTCCAGCCTTTACCCGTGTACATGGTGTTCCGCACAAAAAAATTGCCTTAATGAAATTGGCACCTACAAAACCATTGTAAATGTTCTTAAAAACTATATAAATTGGAAAGATGCGGGAGCCGATAAAGCTACAGCTAAAAAATTTTTAAGTTGTGTTAACCCCCCACTATTTGAAACTGGCACGGATAAGTTAATGTTAGATTTGATTCCCCCACCTGAACTACATCTTATGCTTGGAGTTGTTAATACCGTATTTAATAACATGCTACAAGAGTTCGAATGCTTAGCTTTAAAATGGGCGGAACTATGTCATGTTCAACGGGAAATAACGCATGGAAGTCCGGCATTTAAAGGAAACTCTTGTAAGATAATATTAAACAAAATTGAAGTTCTTCGTGGAATATGCAACCCGGAATGCTACAATTATGTAGAAGTCTTGACAAATTTCCGTAATGTCGTCGAAGCTTGCTTTACCACTAATCTCAAACCAGATTTCAGTAAGTTTATATCAGACTTTAAGAGAAGTTATCTTGCGTCAAAACTACCAATCACTCCAAAAATTCATGCAGTGTTTTTTCATGTTGAAGATTTTTGTACAAAGAATCAAAAAGGTCTGGGTTTCTTCAGTGAACAGGCCATGGAATCTGTTCACTTTGATTTTTCAAAAACATGGGCGAAATACAAAGTTTCCAGCGCAAGTCCAGAATATGAAAAACGTTTGTTAAAGGCTGTCTGCGAATATAATTCGCATCATATTTAACTGCTTTAAAACCGATCAATTTATCTGTTTAAATACCTACACTGAAAATAATTTTGTTCGTAATATCAATAAACACTATTTATCGAAATTTATTTATTAGCACAATGAATATAATCGTTAAGTCAATTATTAGGGGTTCTTGGATGATTAACAGGGTTATTGGTTTAACGAATTACTGTTCATTACTTTTTTCCTACGAAGTCAGTAACTTTTTTTACTGACCCAATAAGTCGTGTTCATTGGGCCAATAAACATAGTATATCAAGCGCGTTTACGTAAATTGATAAACAAAATTCGTTAGATTAATGAATACTGGGCATTAATCAATGAATGCATTCATTATATTAATGATTCAGTTCGATAAATAAATGAACGTGTACATTGATTTAAAGAAATTTTTGATTGATATTACGAACAATTGTACGTCAGGACAGTGAATTCAATTATTAACTGATATAAGGGTTTTTCTAAGCCAATAAATGCATTCATTGACTCAACGAACATTTATTGACTGATGAATACATTCGTTGGGCCAATAAATGCGTTTATTAAGCTGATAAACAGTACATAAAATATAAGAGATTTTATTGGTTAAAACAAAAATTGCCGGGACACTATAAGATTTATCCAGTCTAGTCCCTAATTACCTAGGCGAAGGAAGGTCTCGTCGCAAAGGATATAGAGGTTCCCTCGCGATACTTATTATTTACGCAAATCAATTTCTTTGGGTTTTATATAACGGTGAAGTTTAAGTTGATATTCTGGTTTAAAATTCCAAAGGGTAAGTACATTTCAATTTACATATTTCAATGTGCACTGCTTTTTTGTCATAATCGTTTTGCACTTTCGCTAAGGATTAGACATTTTTAGCGCCAAAAGGTTTTTTGTTAATCGTTGCAAAATCTATGCAAGGATACAATTTTGATAGCGGAGACGAATTATTCTGTTGAATCTCAACTATCCAGTTCAAATACCATTATAGGGTATTTTAAATCAATTGAACAACCAACTAAAAATATTCCTATTATTGCTCACCAGATCGACAAGAACATCTTAAATGATGAATATAAAAAACCCGGTACCTTCATCATAGATGAATATCAAAAAAATATTGAATAATGAAGCAGCTAAATTTGTCTTGGCCTTACACAATAACAATATTTTTTCTCGAAAGGATGTGTTCAATATTCTTAAAAACTTGGATTCTTTTTTGATCAAAACTTTTAGAAAACTTTTGTTAAATCAATATAAATTTGTAGTTCCGGAAACTGACGGAGAAACATGCCTAAGGGCATGATAACTATTGGAAGACATGGTACAGATTAAACGATCTAGAAATGGCAGAAAACTGTGGACAAATCTTGAAAAAATTGTCTCAATACAAAATTCTAAAGGGATATCGATTGGTACGAAGTATGAATTAAAAATCGAATGTTTAGTAATATTACGGGATGATTTATTTTAGATTGATATGGATTTTGAAGGAGCATTTTTCAAGAGCGACTGCTTACTTAGCCATTGGGAGGAATGCTTTCAGAGGATTTTTGATTTTTTGAAAGTTCCAGGTAACCTTAAAGAAAAGACTACAAAATGTTTGCTGGACAACATTGAGGATGAAAGTCATTTTAATATTTTCAGATGGGCGTTATGCGGCAGTATTATGGGCCCTACAACACTACAAATTAGTGTATAAAAATATGTAATGGTATATTTTTACCAACTGTTCATCTTTTTCATTCCATAAACAAGGCAAACATCTTAAATGCATAGTTTTTGACAATAAATGTTTATTTATTTTTAATGTAATCTTTTATTAAGTAGTGTAGTGTGTTAAGTAGTGTAAATAGTGTCGTTAGATTAATGAACGAGTTGATTGAATGATTGAGCTAATGAATGTGTTCATTGGATCAATAAACCCGTTTCTTAGAACAATGAATACGTTCGTTGATTTTATGAACAAAAATGATTGAGCTTATGAATGTGTTCATAGATTAATAAACCCGTTTATTGGATCAATAAATATTTTCATATAATCAATAAACCTGTTGATTGAATGAACGAATATCTCGATTGCTTCAATAAATAAGTTCATTGATTCTACAAACATATCCATCAATTCGATAATAATATTTATTAAATCAATAAATATTTTTATTAACCCAATTAAAAAAGTTAATTGAGTGATAAAATTATAAACATCGACTAATGTACAAGTATTCGTTGGCCCAATTAACTCGTTCATCGGACGAAAAACGATAAACAGAGTTCGTTAAGCCAATAACTTTTTTAATAATATTACGTACCTTTTTGGTTCAGTGTATCTATCAAATTTAAATGTTTATTGTAACTTAATAAAAAGTTTAAAAAACAGTTTTATAGTTTAATTTGTATGTCAGTAAAAAGAAGACAATGGCCTCAATTTTAGGGAACAAAATTTTTAAGTCAATGCCTGCCAATTTTTTTGGCGTTTTGAATTTTTTTACTAATGCTATGGTTTTATTTTAAAATAGAAGTTAAAATAACAGGTCCTAAGGTAAGTTAGTTAGTATTTAATATTTTTACAAGTTTTTGTCATCAATCGTTTTGGACAAGATTGCTTTCATCTAAAAAAATAAATAAATAAAGGTTCCTAAAAAAGAGCCCAATGTGGGATTTAACATTTTTTTGGAAATTAGCAGGAAAATGACAAAAAAATATAGTACAAAAAAATGGGGTGCAAAGACTTTTGAGTTTGAATTAATCATGACCTTTACGGTGGTGGTAATTATTTATAATTTTATTTTATTATCAATTATTATTTTATTTTCAAAATATTAAACGAGATAAATATAAAAACAATGATAGTCAAATTTTTTTAAATTATTGCACAAAATGGTATTTTATTACTGTATTAATATAAATTAATAGCTTTGTAATCTATAAATCTCGATAGAAACTATTTTTTTATATTAAAATACAAAAAATCGATTTTATTTAAAAAGTGCCCATTGTAGGATTTCACTTTTTTTTGGAAAGTAGGTGCTAAATGGTATAAAAAAATATAGTAAAAAAAAATTGACGTGCAAAGACTTTTTGGTTGAAATTAATCGAGGACCACCGTGGTATATAATCCATTTAAAATCAAAAAAATATAAAATTTAAACAATTTCCTTGTTTTAAATAAAAATTCAAATAGCCAAACATTCAAATTTCCCGCCGAAAAAAACAACTGGGTTTTCCAAGCCTGCTAGATTTAAAAATCAACCAATGCTTGTTGCCAATTTTGACTATAGCGCTTTTAATTCTCTTATGTTTTGTGCCTAAAGCTTTATTAGTGAAATTGTGATAAATATATGGAGCGAAGTCAAGGTGTGTAAGCTTGTAAGTTATTTTAAACACTTTTGACCGTTTTGGATTATTTTTTAAGTTTTGTAGCTAATATACGAAACCGAGGTTTGTGAGCTTGTGAAGTTATCTTAAACAGTTTTGACTTTTTTGGATATTTTTTTTTAATTTTTAAGTTTTAAGTGAATGAGTTTTTGGTTTTTAAAATATACACTTTTAATATTTTAAATAAAATAATTTAGGATTTCATGTAAGGAGGCGGTCGATATATGTTTTAAAATTATTTATATATTTAATCTTGACTTCTTACAAGAAAGCATGTTTTGGAACTTTGTAGATAGTGCATTTTGTAAACCTCTTTAGAGCCCAAAGGTTCATATTATTTGTAAATTTCTCTTGCAATAAAAAATGTATTCACTAAAAACGTCTTTATTTTAAAGACACCCCTTTTGTGATTGATTGCTGGGTAGATATTTTTTTAATTAATTGTTTCGACTTTTACTTGATGAAACTCCATGTTAATATTGTTTTATTTTAATATAAACTACACTGTTTAAAAGTTTCACTATTTTATTTAAATATGACAATTGTTTCGCTACACTGTAGCATCTTCAGATCTGAAGATGCTACACTGTAGCATCTTCAGATCTGAAGATGCTACAGTGTAGCGAAACAATTGTCATATTTAAATAAAATAGTGAAACTTTTAAACAGTGTAGTTTATATTAAAATAAAACAAGATATTTTTTTCCTATTTCTTTGTTGCTGAAACAAATTGTACCACGTACCCAGTTAACCTTTATTTTAAATAAAAAGGTAAGTAAATTTGGCAAATAATTTTAATTGGGTTTGTCTTGTATTTTATGTAAATTTAAGTAAATCATAAACTAATGCCTTTTTGTTCGTTGTATTAATACTATAATGGATCATAGATCTATGGTAATTGTTTATTGATTCAATGTAAAATAATCATAAACTATTGTCTACCGTTTATAATAATAATAACATGCTTTCATATATCTATGTTCGTTGTTTATTGATTTAACGTATTGTTACATCAGCGCGGTGCAAAGTCCGGCAACAGTGTGCGCGGGCGAGACTTTGACCTACGACGCGGCGATCGGGCGAGCAGATGATTTGAAGCGGCGAACGTTTGTAGGCGTGTGAATATCTTGTTAGTTACTTTGAAGAATAAATAGAATTAATTTAAAAGTGATATATTATTATAAAACTATTCGATTGAACAATTCAGAAGTGCGATAGTGCTACGTGCTTTAGTTAGTGGCGTTTATTCGGTGTGTGGCGAGAAAAATCGTGACAAAGAAACGGCGTGGGCGTCGACCATTTTTTGTTGACAAAACGATCAGTGTTTTTGTTAGTTTTTCGTTCGTGAGGCGCGCGAGAAAAGCATAGCAATGAGTAAGGAGGATGTTTTATCTATCGATGACGACGTGGATTCTTTAGCCGGCGAATTGAGTTTGGGGCCCACTTCGACTCCAAGGCAAGGGCATGGCGAGGCGAGCAATTCGGTTGGGCTGACTGATGCTCAGGTGGACAAGGTAGTGGAGGCCTTGTTGGCGAGGGGGCTAAATGACAAGCTGGTAAAAGCAGCCAAGCGGCAGGCGGCTGAGGTGGCTGTCAATTTAAGAGCGAACTCTCCAGGCGTGGCGAGTTCTTCGAAAGAATCGGCGATAGGCGAGGGGGTAAGTAAACGGGGTTTTACTATGGAGGCGGAGATGGTGGAGCGGTTCGACCCTGAAGAACCTGATTGCGATGTGGTCAGGTGGTTAAATAAAATCGAACAGCTGGGCCATATCCATGGTTGGAGTGGCTACGAGCGTAGCTTTATGTTGCAAACGAAATTAACCGGCGCGGCGAGGGCATGGTTCAGGAGGTTGGAGTCATACGATCACTCGTGGGACCAGTGGAAGTATTTGTTGGCGGCGGCGTTCCCAAGGAGGCGAGATTTCCACGAAATGCTTGTGGAAATGTTCAACCGGCAGAAATTGGTCTCTGAGACAATGACCACTTATTTCCACAGCAAGCTTGATCTGTGTGGGCGGGTAAGCATTACTGGTGAGGCGGCGGTTTCTTGTGTAATTGCAGGGCTTCCACATGAGTTAAGGGCGGGTGCATATAGTGTGTGCAGCACCACTCCGCAACAGTTTTACAACACCTACTTGGCGGGGTTGGACAACTACCAGGTGGGAAGGCCTTCGACCAGGGTGGCGGCCCCTTTTGCAGGTGTGGTGCGCTGTACGAAATATTGCAACCTAAGCACTGACCCACTAATTGCTATATAATATATATGTAATGCAATGTGACGGAGGAGTCGAGCTCGGATACCAAAGTAAAGGTATGACGAGAATAAAATCCAAGTGTAAACCAATGTTGATGTTTTACTAGTTTCCCTGTGACCCAAACCTTTACATGGCGACCGTGACAAGTTAAAAGTGACAGTTTAAAAGTTTTGAAGAAAGAAAATGGGTACAACAAAAAGCAAACCAGTCAATCAAGAATTAACAGAAACAGGGGTAGTAAATTCAAACTTCGTGGTGCAAGAACAATCCATCCAATGCCCGATGGACTTAAAAGTGATATTATAATTCACCTGTTCTATTAGTACCAAAAAAATCAGTTTCTGGAGACAAAAAATGGAGATTAGTTATAGACTTTAGACAAGTAAACAAAAAAATAATTGCCGATCGTTATCCCTTACCCAGAATCGATGATATTTTAGATCAGTTAGGACGTGCAAAATGGTTCTCGGTTTTAGATCTAATGTCAGGGTTTCATCAAGTTCTTCTTGAAGAAAATTCGAGAGATATTACAAGTTTTACGGTAGACTCAGGAACTTTTCGTTTTAAAAGATTACCTTTTGGTTTATCTGTGAGCCCTAATAGTTTTCAGCGTATGATGAACATCGCATTCGCATCACTCTCACCTGAAAAGGCTTTTATGTATATGGATGATCTAATTGTAACAGGCTGCTCAGAAAAGCATCATTTAAATAATCTTAAAGCAGTTTTGAACTATGCAGAAAACATTGCCTTAAACTCAATCCCGAAAAATGTCAATTCTTCAGAACCGACGTAACATATCTGGGGCATCGATTAACAGACCAAGGAATTCTACCAGATGAATCTAAATTTGAGATTATCAAAAATTATCCTAGACCGGACAATGCGGATGCAGTTAAACGTTTCGTAGCGTTCTGTAATTACTACCGAAAGTTTATAAAAAATTTTGCTGAAAAAACAATTTCTTTAAACAAACTCACGCGTAAAAACACAAATTTTGTTTGGACAGATGAGTGTGAAAAATCATTTCAAAATTTAAAGCAATCCTTAATGCATCCACCTATATTACAATATCCGCAGTTTGACAAACCATTTATTATAACAACCGATGCGGCAAAACTGGCCTGCGGAGGTATTCTAAGTCAAATTCACAACGGTCATGACCTTCCCATAGCTTATGCATCTCGTGCTTTTACTAAAGGCGAAATAAATAAATCTACTATAGAAAAAGAATTATCAGCCATTCATTGGGCGATTATGCATTTCAGACCATACATTTTGGACAAAAGTTCTCAGTTCGCTCAGATCATCGACCACTAGTTTACTTATTTTCTATGAAAGATCCAAGCTCCAAACTCACACGTATGAGGTTAGATTTAGAAGAATTTGATTTTACCATCGAATACATTCAAGGAAAAAACAATGTCGGAGCTGATGCTTTATCTAGGATAGATTTAGAACAATTAAAAGAAACACAAATATGTCAAGCACATTTGGCAGCAATGCAGACCAGGTCTGATCGCCAGTGACGGTAAAAAGTAGAGGTTCTGAAAAATATTGCCCAGTTTATCCATTCCGTGATGTGGCGGGGTACGCCGCATACCCCAACTGACGTTATTCGTTGTAACCTTGCTAAAAAATATTTCTTTATAGCTAATCCTCAAACCTTTCATTGCCGACATTATAGTAATAATATATTGTAAATATCATAAATAAAACTGAAAAAGACTTGCCAGTGTCCAATCCAAAGTTGTATCGATACTATGCGGATTACAGTGTCCAATCCAAAGTTGTATCGATACTATGCGGATTACAGGGAGAATATACAAAACACATGTGCTTTCTCTGTCTTTGTAACACTTGGTACAAAGGGAACCAATACGCAAAACCTGACTGGGAGTCTAGACACTACATGATGAGCGACAAATCTAGTGGGATTGCAAGGCATAACCAAATTCGTCGCCAACTCATTCCTCAGAGTAACGTTTTATTGCCTCCTTTGCATGTTAATTTGGTAATAGTGAAAAGTCTCATTAAAGCGATTGTCAGGCTATGGCCGGAAATGCTTCAATGCCTAAAGAAAATCTTCCCAAAACTAAGCGATGCTAAACTAAAAGAAGGTAAAGAAACAAATTTATATATAAATTATATATTTTCCTCAGCTGTTGACTTTTGTCCTACATTTCACAAATAGTTAAAGCACTATTTCACATACCTTCTTTCAATTTCACTACGAATTGTAACGGATCATTATTTTTCAAAAGGCCCAGACATTCGAAAACTTAATAAAAGTGCCGATATGTTCGATAATTATTTAACCAAAGCGTTGAAGGCGTGGACCGCGACCAAGAGTGTGATTCAGAATTTTTTGGGGAAAAACAGATCTGACAATTTTCGAGAGGATGTTATCGAATTGTTAAAAGCATATGAAACAGTCTGTAAGTTGATAAAGACAATCAAATTCGTTATTCGATTTCAGATAATTTTGACAAAGAAATAAAAATTTCAATTAAATATTTTTCAGGAGTAAGTATGTCTTTTAAGATTCATTTCCTCCACAAGCACCTGGACTTTTTTGAGAAATAATTGACATCTGATTCATTATTATTCATTCATATTATTCATCATCGTTATTAGACATGGGACCCACATCAAATTTATATGAGTTTATAATGACACTATACAGTGGAGGTAAAAGCGTAATTATCCATGGCAATTTCATGTGTAGGACAAGGATACATCGATTTAAGACAGCAATGGATGTATAAAGATCGGTTGATTGGCGATACTATAACGGAGTGGGGGTGCACCAACGGAATGAGGTGTTTATTGAGATGTAGGGCCTACCTTGTAGGCGTCTAAGACGACCGCTAGTATTTGAGAAGATAAGAGCTGTTTTTATTTCAAAATGTACATTCTTACCACAAATGAAAGGACTCAACTTATAATATGGTTTTTAACACAGGGTGTGGACGAAGCGCTTGGGCGTTTTGCTTTCACATTTTCAAATCGCCCAATTCCTACGAAACAAACTATAAGAAATATTTTTAATCGTTTTAAAAATTCTGGGTGTGCTTCAAACTGCAGTAGTTGTCATAAGGAAAATCATACGCCTAATAAAATATCGCAGGAAAGACTGGCACGGGAAATAAATATCTGCTCCCTTGTCGAAATTAACGAACCTTGTCCAGCTACAAAAATTGCGAAAGAGGCTGGTTTACAAGCCAGAACAGTGAGAAACATTTTAAAACGCAATAAGTATAAAAGTTTTAAGCTGAAGACCACCCAGGAGATATTTCCCGAAGACCAAGAAAGGAGGCTACAATTCTGTGAAATAATAAGACACAAAAATGACCTCAATGAGAATTTTATCAGAAATATCGTTTTTTCGGACGAGTCTTCTTTTGCACTACACGGAACACATAACTCGGAAAATACTCGATATTGGTCTCGGAAAAATCAGCATCTGTCACTGCCTGTAAGGACCCAGTACCCCCAAAAACTAAACGTTTGGGCTGGCAATTTTCAAAATTCAATTATTGGCCCTTTCTTTATTGATGGAAATTTAAATGCCGATAAATATTTAAATATGTTAGAAAATGAAATTGTTCCTGCCATTCGTGATGTGTCTCCAAACTTTGAGAATATTTGGTATCAACAGGATGGTTGTCCAGCTCATAATGCAAGACAAGTTAGAGAGTTTCTTGATGCTACTTTTACAAATGGATTAATTTCTACAACAGGGACGATTTCTTGGCCCCCTAGATCCCCTGATTTAGCACCCTGCGATTTTTTTCTTTGGGGTTATATTAAAAATACAATTTATGGGCATGAACATGACAGGGCACACAATTTAAATGAATTGCGTGCAAAAATTGTTACTTCGGTGGAAAATATAACCCCTGAAATGATAGGCAATGTACAAAAAGAATTATACTTTCGAATAGGCCATTGCGAAATTCAAAACGGAGGCCTTTTCGAACATTTACGCAATTAAAAATTATTATTTATTGAAAATAGATATATTTTATTTTTTAAATATTTGTTATTTTACATATTCTATTTTTGTTTGAGTTTATTGTTTTTTAAATTTATTCTGTAGTTTAAATAAAATATTTTTATATGCCACTTTTTAGTTTTATTTTACTACTTGAATTAATTTAAAGCTTGATAATATATGGAACAAAAAAATTAATTAATTTAATTTTTTTTAAATGTTAATTATTTAAATTAAAGAAAAAAAGGATACGTAATTAATATTTATTATTTATTAAAAATAGGTAGGTATATTTCACTTTTTAAAATTTTTGATATTTTTTATATTTTATTTTAGTTTTTAGATAAAATATTGCTTTTTAAAATTTATTTTTTAGTAATTAAAATATTTTTATGTCACTTTTTAGTTTTATTTTTTTTACCACTTATAATGAATTAATTTAAAACTTAATAATACAAAAAACAAAAAAAATTAGTTAATATAAATTTTTTAAAAATGTTAAAAGTTGTTTAAATAAATGAAAAAAGGGTTACGTAATTAATAGTTATTATTTATTAAAATAGGTACCTATATTTGATATTTTTTATATTATATTTTTATTTTAGTTTTTTAGATAAAATATTGCTTTTAAAAATAATTTTGTAGTTTAAATAAAATACTTTTTATATGCCACTTTTTAGTTTTTTTACCAATTTTATCTAATTAATGTAAAGAAATACATACTTTAAATTTAATAATACAAGAAACAAGAATTTTTGTAAGTAAAACTCAAGAAAAAAAGTTTATTACAGTCTAAAAATAATCCAGGTAAATAAGATTTAGTAATCACATACTTAAAATTTAATAATAAAAGAAACAAGAATTTTTGTAAGTTTATTACAGTCTAAAAATAATATAGGTAAATAAGATTTAGTAATCACATCCGTTGTTTTGGCCAACAATGCGTCAGTATTACCCTTCCTACGGAATTCCCCACTATCTTTTTACTCTCTCACACTTATGGGCTATGGATAATTACGATTTTTCCTCCCCTTTATAGACAAGTTCTGCGCAAGCAGAATTTAAATTAAAGTTTGCAAAAAAAAGTTAGTTTTTAAGTGTGCCCCCCAACCTCCTACCCCCCCATATTAAGATAATTCAAATTAAAGTGGTACAATATTTAATTCACTGAGGTTTTTGACAAATTTTATTAAAAAAATTCAAGTATAACAGATCTAATACCATTTCTATCAATAAATCCAAAAATTCTAATAAGGACCTTACGTCCTTATGCTGTGATTTAACTAGCCGGTCAATATTAAATATTTGATGATTGTGTCTTTTTTTGTTCATGATTGATAATTAATCCTGCATCTTTTTCTTTATTCAATGAAGAACTGCAATTACTATTTTCTATATGCAAAGGAGTTTTATAAATTCAACTCCTGGCCGCATCATCCATTAACATATCCAAACCCAAACCTGAAATACCAATTTAAAATCAATTCAAATTGTAAAAAGATTAATTCATCAATACTTATGGTAATCAATTGCCTGGTTATTTGTGTTAAAAATTAAGATTTAAATAAAGAGATTCTTAGTAGAAATTTTAAGAGGAAAACATTTTTTTAAATGTTTTTACACATTGTCGATAATTTCAGAGATTTCTGCGGTTCCTTTCAATTAAGTTACTTTTATTCACTTGTGTGCTGCTAAAATGGCTCGAAATTACTCTAATGCTGACAAATTTGATATGATCGTAACTTAAATTAGAGCAAAGGAACGCCAATATTGCATCTCAAAATTATTTAAATGAGTTTCCTGAACGCCAACAACCTCATCAAAGATACTTTGTTGACTTGTGGAACAGAAAAGGGACCATCATTATGATATGGATAATGAGGAACGCGACCACACTATTTTGGAAAATGTCAATGGTGAACCAAATTGTTTAGTAAGAGATGTTGAACGGGCAACTGGGAAACCGAAATCTACAGTTTATCGAGTCTTAAAACAACGGCATTATCATCCCTATAAACCCAAAATTGTTCAAGGGTTAGTAGAAAACGATTTGGAACGAAGAATGGCATTTAGTCGATGGTTTGTCCAACAATTTGAAGATCCTGAATTTCCAAGTAGGGTAATTTGGACTGATGAAAGTAGGTTCAGTAATGGCGGCGTTTTAAACAAAAACAATCATCACCATTTTAGTGTCGAAAACCCACATGAAGTGGCGCAGCGCCGTAAAATTGATATTTGAAGATCATTGCAGCAATGTTTAAATTTTAGGAAATGAGATAATAGGACCATTTATTTTCGATAATAATTTAAATGGCGAACGTTACCTTGAAATGCTTCACAACCAAATAATACCAGCTATAAGGGAAATTGTTTCTGAAGATCAAATGAACCATTTATGGTTACAGCAGGACGGTTGCCCAGCGCACAACACACGAGCAGTTAGGGAACATTTGATCAAAGGATAATTGCAAACAATGGGCCCATTCCATGGCCCGCCCGATCACCGGATCTGACCCCTTGCGATTTTTATTTCTGGGGTCATGCTAAAAATGAAGTTTATGAGTTTGATCCCCCGAAAAACAGAGCAAGAGTGGTTGATACACTTGCTAATATCAATAGAAATACGTCGATGTGAAAAATGTATCCAGCAAAACGGGGCCCACATCGAACAATTCAATTAGTTTGTAATAACAGTTTTATTATCAATTTATTAGTCAGCGACATTTCTGGATTTTGTTTATGTGAAATAAATCACTCGCTTGTAGCATTTTAAATTTATTTTTGATAAAAAAATGTTTTTTAAGTGAGTGTTATGGTTTTATTCTCAAAGCTTTTTTGCATTTACAATTCCCACTTTTGATAAAATTGATTTTGGTGTCAAATTTCAAAAATTTAAAAATCAAAATTTAAGAAAAAATCATATTTTTTATAGGTTGTGATACATCGTTAAAAAGATAATAAAAAATTAACGGTCATTTTCTTATGTAATATCACGCCTGTACAATAATATACCTAAAAACCTTAAATTAATGACAATGCCTCAGTTTAAAAGATGTCTTCGGTTATTTTTGTTTAACGCTCAGTAGCTCGGAGTAAATTAACTTATAAGTTATGTGCTTTGATTTTATTTTCAGGACCTGCTTTATTTTATGACAGTAGTATTTAAATTAATTTAATATAGGTATTATACTTTTTATTATTATAATAATAAAAGACAACATTTGTATATATAATAATGTATATAATTTTGTGTATACCGTACCTTCATTTGCAAGCTATACATAGTGAAAATACATTGTAGGTGGACCAGACAAGTCGAAGTCAGCGCGAGGCATTGTAAAACAATTTTAATCACCAGTAAACAAGGTCACCTGTTACGGCGCATGTTAGCTTACTCATCGACTCGTCAAAATAATTTCTGGGAACATTTTCGCTTCGAGCTGACCGCGCTGACTTCGACTTGTCTGGTCCACCTACAATGTATTTTCCCTATGTATAGCTTGCAATTGAAGGCACGGTATAAATTATACCTATAAAAAAAATTATACACATTATTTGTCTGATTATATAATATATAATATTTTGTGCTTAGTATTATTATTTATATTTCATAGGTTTAAAATTAATCACTATCACTTTTGCATTAAGCTTGATTTATAGATTGCCTTCCTTTCTTCCTCCCGTAAAAAAAGAACAATACGGAAACCGTAGTGCTGTTTATAGATTAGGCTAGGGGAATCTATAAACACCACTAAGGTTTTCGAATTGTTCATCTTTTACGGGAGGAAGGAAGAAAGGCAATCTATAAAGCAGGCTTTAGAGCTACTGCTTATTAATAAAAATATAAAAATATAAACATTTCTACAATAGTCATTATTACTCTGACACACTAATAATAATAATTATTATAATAATAATTATTATATAATACAGGGTGTCATGTAATAAGTAGTCATTCCATTAGGGAATGATAGTTCACGTTGCATGTGCTAAGTACCGTTTTTTAATAAAAAAAATATAAAAAATATAAAAATTGCCGCAATTTTAGGTACCTAATATATAGACATTGTTAAGCAAATTTACAAAATTTTAATTAATTTCACCGCCTAGTCCATGTAAAAAGGCAAAATTAAAAAAAAATCTTAAAAACGCTGTGGAGAAATGAGTTAAAATTTTGTCATAAAGCGTTTTAGTTACCCATCTTTTGATTGTAAAAATTTTAAGTTATTGTAATATTTGCAAATTTCAAAAAACAGTCCCAAACCTTCTTAATTTATAAATACATAAATCGAAACAAGAAAATGTTTTTTTTTAGCTAGAGGAATACACCTTAAAAATATACGATTGGAAGATTTTGTGTACCTGACCTTAGGTATACCAGTTGGAGACCAAATAATATTGTTCGAGTACAAAAATTATCTGCAGAACTGAACGGGTGCGTGCTTTCACATTTTCCAAAATGATTTGTTTTCAATGCAAAAAATCATTTAACGATTTATATATTTTAATTAGACATTTTAAACTGTTGCATGGTTTTAATTCGTTTACAAATTACAAATGTCTTGAAGAAAACTGTTCTCAATCATTTCAAAATCTGAGCAGTTTTAAAAAACATGTCATAAATAAACATAAAAAACAAGATTCCGCTGTTCAAAATCAGAATAGTTCCGTTAATACTAGTATGACTGTGAGTTCGACCACATATTTAGATAACAATGACAAAACAGAAGATTTGCCTTCGTTTTCTAATGTTCCCTTAAATGAAAGTGAAACTAGTTCTAAAAATCCAGATAATAATGGTGATTTTAATGTTGAAATTTGTTTAAATATGCTCTCCAGAGCAGGGTTAAATTTTACAATAAATTTGCATAATAATAATAATTTTACTTTAAATGATGTACAGACTGTGCAAAATTATGTAAGGAAATACATATGTAAATCTATTGTTGATATAATTCGCCTAGTACTACAAAATAATAAGTCTTTTTCTGAATTATCTGATGTCGAAGAAATTTTAAACCAGTGTATGGACCCCTTTATATTGTGTAATTCTGAATATAAAATGTTTAAATGGCTCGAACAGAATGATTACTATGAAAACCATTCTAAATTCTCTATTAATGAGGAAATTTTACCCATTTTTCGTAATGGCGAGCTATCATATGGTGAAAAATCGACCACCGGAATAATGCTTCCTTAAGGAATTTAAATTTAAAATTCCAATTTCGTAAATTTTTTGAGAAAGATAACAATCTGCAAAATTATTTTAACAGTGTAAGTAAGTTAGGTAGTTGTGAGAATATCGAAATAAAAGAATTTATTCAAGGAAATCTCTGGAAAAGTAAAATAAGCAAAATAGAAAATGATTACGCTATTCCTTATTTTTTTGTATATAGATGATCTCGAAGTAAATAATGCTCTTGGCAGTCATTCTTCAGTGCAGTTATTATCTGCCATTTATTATACTTTTCCTATGATTTGCAACAATGGTAGGCTCGACAATATTTTTTGTGCAGGATTTTTAAAAGCTGCTGATATAAAACAGTTTGGTAATAAAAAATGTTTAAAAAACTTTATTAAAGAAATTAATTTCTTAGAATCGCATGGTCTTGAAATAAATACAAAAGACGGCAAATTTAAAGTAATTTTTATTCTGGGTCTGATATTGGGAGATAATTTAGGAGTTAACACCATCCTTGATTTTTCAAGATTTTCCCACAATTATTATTGCAGATCCTGTAAAATGTGTAAAAAGGATTGCCAAAGCTGTATCGAAGAAAACAAGGAATACATGAGAAATAAGGAAAATTACAAATTTGATCTAAATAGACACTCTTCTGAATCGGGAGTTCAAAAAAATTCTATTCTAAACAGTATAAAATCTTTTCATGTAGTTGACCTTTTTGCCGTTGACGTCATGCATGACATTTTTGAGGGCATTTGTCACTACAATCTTTGTCACATAATAAAATATTTTATCGATGATGTTAAATTATTTTCTTTAGATTTACTTAACGAAAGAAAGGAACATTTTTCATATGGACCAACAGAAGTGGGCAATATGTCCTTGAAAATTACCAAGGAGCATCTAAATAAATGTCGTTTAAAAATGTCTGCGAGGAAGATGTTGTGTTTTACACATTTCTTCTCGCTAATGATCGGTGATTTGATTCCAGAGGGTAATGAGGTCTGGAAGTTTTTTATAACTTTTTTACAAATTGTTGACATTTTAATGTCATTTACCATTTCTCCTGAAGTTTTAACACTTTTAAGGCTTCTAATCAAAGATCATTTAAGGTCGTATCAAAACCTATTTAAAGACAAATTAAAACCAAAACATCATATGCTTATTCATTATCCAACTATAATAGAAAATTCAGGGCCACCACGAAATTATTGGTGTTTTAAATTTGAAGCTAAACATTCACAAATGAAAACCTATGCTCGTGTCACAAAGTCTAGAGTGAATATTCCATTATCTATGGCCAAAAAGTCACAATTAAAATTTTATAAATATCTTTTGGACAATAGCAAGCCAGACAATTATAATTATAAAGAAAAAGACATCATTACCGCAAGTGCTAATGCTGATTTTATTTGTCACAATTTACAAACAGTTATAGACAACGTTTTGTGCCTTTCGCAAATTCAATTTCAAGGCAAATTTTATAGAAAAGATTATTATTTATCATTGTGCGACTTGCAAGTATTTTTATATAAAATTTTAGAAATCATAATCGTCAAAGATAATGACAAAATTTATGTAGTTTGTGAAAAAATAGTAGTTAAATTCAATGGGCATTTTGAAGCATATGAGGTGGGAAATAGTACAGGTACAATGAAGCTAATTCATATCAGTAAATTTACGGGCCCGCCTATCACAGTTTGCAAATTAGCAAACGGTACGCCGATGGTGCGATTGAAAGAATTTTTTTTAAATGTTTATCTTTAAAATTAAAACATTATTTATTCTTAAATACATTTCTTTGATTTTCATCTTCTTAACTTATCTAACAGTATTTCTTCTTTTGTTATCGAATTAAATGTTTATTGAACTTGCTTTATTATATTAAATAAAATTATTAAAAAAATAACTTTTAGTGTTCTTAAAAAATTACGAACGAAAATTAAATTTAAAATATTTGTCGTGTTAATGACTTTCGGGCGCGATCCAGTAGTGTAGTTTATAAACATTTTGTCATTAGTTTTATCCCTGCCCCCCTTTCTTATGATTTAAAAAGGGCGGTTACTCGCTATCTATATTTGTGCTTCTCTTATGTTTGTACCTGTGGATGTACTCTTGTTTATTATGTTATAAAGTATCTACGAAGAATTTTTTGGTCAATTTAAAAAGTTTAATAAATAATCGGTCGTAGACTTATTCATATACTGTGTCAAAACAAATTATTATCATAAAATGGAAGCCGAAGAACTCGCCAATGAGTTTATTAATCAAAACCTTATTTTACCTGATGGTGTACTGCTAGCTACTCTTACTCAAGAAGACAACAATTTTCTTGATAATACGAGCCTTACTAATTTATTACCAAATGAAGACCCAGAATTACGGAATCTTTTAAACTCTTGGGAACTTGGCGAGCTTTATGATCAATTTGGTAGTAAGATTTACAATTAATTTGCAATAGCATTAGGTATTAAAATAACTTTTATAGGATGTAATATTTCGCTGAGAACATTAAACATTACTAGACCACACCATATTCATTTACTATGCCCCAATGTTCCGTTGGGAACCAGAATTTTATTGGAACAGCACCTATTTGGTTGGCAAAAATCCATTGTAAGTCATAAATCTTTTAAAAAACTTTATATTTTGTCTAGTCTAATTTTAGGGGACATTTTGTTCATCAGGAGATCCTTTTAATCTTTCCCATACTTCTCATGCAAATGAGGAAAATTTGCAAAGCAATTCGCAGGAGAACAACAATGCATCTGAACATGCTTTAGAAGTGGTAAATGAATAAATCATTATTAATTACATAATTAGATACATTTTTGATTTTTTTTCTAATTAGATTCAATTGCGACACATTTTGTTAAAATCAAATGAAGGAAAGATTTTATTAGGAATATCTAATCAGAAAGGAAATTTAAATGATGGACAACGGCAGATTTTGGTGGACAGAGTGGTGGACTTCTTTATTCAAGAAAATAAAACATTAAATGTTCCTATGGGTGAAAATTTAAGCAACCAAATCTTACAATTGTTTCCATCTGAAATTAAGGTATGTATCTATGCACAATTGTGGTACTGTTAAGAGTTATGTAAACATCGTATTTCAAATTCTCTTTTCTAATTTCAGGAGTATTATCATGCTGCACAAAAGGGAAAAGCGCCAAAAGGGAAATTGGTTGCCAAATTTTATAACCAACAAAGAAAACTAAAAGAAGTATGTTTCCTCCCGAAAGGTCCTAAAAGGCGAAAGACAGAAAATAATACGAAAACAGGTAATCATAAAAAACATTTCCACACACATTACATGTTATACGTTTAGATTTCGACATTTTGCCAAACGCAGAAGAAATAAAAGAAAAATTAAAACATGTGCAGGAAGGTAGTCGATGGGAAGAGGTAAAAGAAATGTGGAGGCAAACATATAATTTAACCCCTTCGGACCCTATGTACATGGTAATGTACATTAAGTTTGTCACCCCCAAATTTTTGTTAAACTTAACTTAGACCATTTTTGACCTATTGTACATATTTATGTACATGTTTTGTGTCACAAACAGGGTCTGTGTTGCCATCTGTTGAAAGTGTTGCTAATTACAAAGTTTTAAAATGTAAGTATCATAACCCACAAGCTATTTGACGGGTAAGTCATTTTCTTATGCTGATATTTCCTCAATTATGAAAATAAAAAGCCCAAATTAAATACTAACATAATCATAAAACCTTAAAAAACATGCCTGTTATCAGATATTGATAAATTATTGAAAATTATTTGGTCTACGTTCATAAAACGTGATGTACATCGTCATGTACATATGGTCTCAATTGCTGTTACTATGAAAAATATATTGTACATGGTGATGTACATCCGGCCTCAACCGGTGCTTGTGTACAACTTGAAAAAAATGTTTTTTTATAAAAACACAAAACTTGTTTTGAAATAACAGGCTGAAATTATTTTTTAGCATATAATCTTTCTTGCATAAAATGGATAACAAAAAAAGAAATACTCTCTGAAATAGAAGAATTAGGCTATTCTGACGATGAAGATGGGGATAAAGATTTGATCGATGACTTGCCTACAACATCTGCCACTTGCATTAGAGTTGGCCAATACACGATTAATCGAACAGAGGCCGAAGCCCTTGATAAAGTTGATACTGAAGAAAAAAATGAAGTTGACTATGAAGAGGAAGACATTAGAACTGAAGTAATACAAAATGAAGATGAGGAGGATTATGAAATCGAAAATGAAGATAAGACTTATGAAACTGAAGAAAGTGAGGAGGAGGACATAGTGGAAGAAGAAGCTGAGGAACCTAGAAAAACAAACAGAAAAACCATAAAAAGGGCCGCAAAAAAACACAAAAAAGACAGCAAAAAAAATATCCAAGAAAAAAGCACCAAAAAAGCCGCCAAGAAAAAAAAGAAGAAATTAGAAATTAAATGGAACCAGGATCCTTTTGCTCCATCTCCAATGAGAAAATTCCCAGACTAGATATTTACCCATTACAATATTTTAACAGATGGCAGAGTGTACAAATATATATGCCTTGCAAAAAAACAAACCATTTAAAACTACCACTTCTTCTGAAATTCAAGTTCTTATTGCATTACATATTGTTATAGGGTGCCTTAACAAGTTTCCTCGCATCAGAATGTATTGGGAAAATATTTTGGGAATACATCTCTTTTTGGATAATATGACAAGGGATAGATTTTTTTTTCTACGTAGTAACCTTCATTTAGTCAACAATTTGGATAAACCAGAAGGATGTACGGATAAATTTTACAAAGTTCGACCACTAATGGATACAGTAAGAAAAAGATGCCTGGAATTAGAAGTTGAAGAAAACCTCGCCATTGATGAGCAGATTGTGCCATTTACAGGCACCCTTTCTGTGAAACAATACATAAAGGACAAACCAACCCCATGGGGCATTACAATTTTTGTAATGTGTGGAAAAAGTGGGCAGGCATATGATTTTATTGCCTATCAAGGGAAAACGACAGAGTTTAACCAAGAAAATTTAACCAAATTTGGGCAAGGATAGTGTTGCCGTCTAGACAAGACAAGACAAGAGTTACTTACTCTTGTCTTGTCTTGAAAATTTTAAGACAAGAGTTGTGTAAGTCTAAGTCTTGATTAAAAAAGCATTATGCGGTCTTGTCTAGATTAACTAGTCTAGATTATTATTTAAGAGTCTAGATTATTATTCAAGAGTCTAGATATAAATTATGCGTCTGCGCAATGTAACTCCCACTCTTGTTTTAGAACCAGTCAAAACAAATCACTTCCGCCACGTGCAGACACAACCCTTGCGTTTTGTTTTGGCACTAAATTAAGCAGTAAATTTATTATTATTTAGGTTAGTTTTTGTTGTTTTACTACTGTTTAATACTAAGAAGCATTTTAAAATATGTAAACAAAGCGTTTTAAATTTTCCTGTACTTGCAATGCAGATAAAAAAACATCGCAAGTTAACTGCCAAGTGCTAATAATAATTTTAACGAAGAATAAGTGAAAGATCCTTTTACGTGTGATTCGATAGATGAAGATAAAAGTTATGAGCCTGGACCAGACGATTTTTCAGTGATGATGAAAGTGTTTATTCGCCAACCAACAGTACCACCACAGCAACAATCGATTTTAAGCCATCAACTTCACGTACTTTAACAACACTTTACTTCAAAGACAACTCAACATAAGAAAAAAACCCTTAGTAAGGTTATTGGCAAAAATAGTTTTAAATATATCTAGAAAATAAGCCCAAGATAAGCCCCAAATATATGTAGAAAATAAGCCCAAGATTTCAATAAAATATAAACATTCTTTTATATAAAAAAAATAATAATTAAATGAAGTGTTTTTAATATTTTTTAAAAAGTTAAATTTAATCTAGTCTTGAAAATAATCAAGAGTTTTGGCTTAAAGTCTTGTCTTGTCTTGATTATAATCAAGATTTTTGGCCAAGGTCTTGTCTTGTCTTGATACACTTAGACAAGATATGTTGACGGTATTGTCTTGATATTCTAGACAAGACAAGACAAGAGTCTAGAATGTGTTAGTTTTGACGGCAACACTACCTTGGAAGAATCAATTTGAGGCATATGATCTGTCATTTCAAGCTGAATATCAGTACAGGGACGACAAGCCACGTGATATTTTAGTATATTTCGATAATAAAAAATTAAAATTTTATTCTATTTTAAGTGCATTAGATATGTGCTTCAAAATATATCATGTTTTTCATCTAAAATATCCTGCTGAATCTGTATTAGTCTGGCAATTTATACAATTGTATTTCTATGACATCAAAACTGGCGACGAAATAGTCCAGCCAAAAATTAACATGTTGATCGCAGAATTGGATATGGAAAAAGTAGGCTAAAAAGGCATTGAACAGAAGAAATATTTTTTGTTTATGCTTTAATTGGTTTAAAGCATAGGAATTTATTTTTTTTTTAATTACAGCAGAATTATTTCCTTTAAGACATCTTATGAGGATTATGAATTTTATTTTAAATAGCTTTAATTTGTTTTGTATGTTGAGTTAAGAAAAATTCAGCTATGACATTTTGTTCTTATACATTTTTGTTATTTTTGTTTTTGATTTTAAAGATTGAATCGTAAGTCAATCAAAAACGAATTTTGTTTTCTTTTTATTAATAAAATTATTTATTGAAAACCTTTGTTTAAATGGGTAATAAACGTTTTCCGTAATTATTTTGTTTTATTATTTTTTCCTTAATACTCCTTAAAAAATGGTTTAAACTGATTAGTCATATACCTACTATTTTTTTGGTCGAAGCTCTGCTAAAATTTTTAACCACTTTGTTTAGAATTGGAGGAATACACTTCCAAAAGCATTTTGTTTCTGTTTTCAAAATAGTCAGAAAAAAACACAATTAACTATAGTTGTATACATTATTATTTCAGAAATAAATAAAATACATTTTGGAAGCTTGCTCCAATAGATTAACAATAATAATTTTAATTTATAAAAAATTTACTGTAGCCGATATAAAAACACATTGTTATTGTTATACAATCAACTGTCACCGTGACACAATTTATGTATAGTTAATAGTTTTTGTGTATATTAGGAAAAAACATACACTTTATAGTAACGTCTATATGAATTTAACTATAGTTCACAATTTAAAATAATGGTACGTACTATACAATGTAAATAACTCATTCTATAATTAGGTATGTAACGTTTTGTTAAAATAATAAAAGCTTTCCTGTTAATACAACTGAAACCGGTTTCTATAGGAATAATAAACATTTTTGTAAAATATATGTAAGACGTTTTATTAGTTTTAGAATAATTTTTATTATTATTAAACCTACTACATATAATTTACAAAAATTTTCATTATACCTATAAAAACCCGTTTCATTTGTTTTAACATGAAAGCTTTTATTATTTTAACAAAACCTTTCTTTGGATGAATACGGATGAAACTTTTATTAATTATACCTACAATTTTTGTAAAACTGAATGAAAATTTCTCTGAGTGTACAACAATAAAATATAATTTTCATCTTATTGTTCTCACTTTATTGTTAGGCTAATGTAGAAATGGTAATTGGTAGTTTAGATCTAGGTACATGTGATAACCGGGGGCGGAATTTTATTCTGCCTGCTTGAAAATAACCTAGTGGTTTCCTATGTTTATTTACGTCATATTTGTTTGAATTATAAAGTTAATTTTTTTGTTATTAGAAATGTAACAAATAGGAAATAAACTTATTATTATTATAAAATGCCAAACAAAAAATTTGCGTCCATAAGAAAAAACAAAGTTTATAGTCGTATCTTGCGAATAAAAAAAATTAAAAAAATCCTTTAAACCCACTAGAAGAGCATTCAAAAATAGCTTTGATAATGTGGAAGTTTTGAAAGTGTAGAATGAATAATAAACAAATTATTGCTAAAAATAGATAACGCACCTTTTTGGTTTTTATTTATTATCTAAAAAACTGAACAAAAAAATCAAAATCTGTTTAATGATCTGAAATAGTCAAAGAATTGAGCAAAACTTATCTAATTTAACCGACTCTGTATCTCCTACGGGTTAGGGTCAAAATCCCGACAATCAAAATCCTGACAGTTAGAATCCCGACAGACGAAATCCCGACAGATCAAAATCCCGACAAGTTAGAATCCCGACAGATTAAAATCCCGACAAGTTAAAATCCCGACAGGTGATATTCCCGACATATATTGAAAAAACAAGAACAAATCAAAACTTTTACTTGATGATTAAATAAATAAATCGAGATATGTTTTATTGGTGCTGCGAAAAAAGGAAGTCGACTGATTGCAAGGGAAGAGCAACAACAATCTTTCTGGAGGGAAGACACCGCCTGCGAAAATGTGTGGAACATAACCACGCTCCTGAAGCAAGTTCTGCGACCATAAGTAAAACTATACAAAATATAAAATAACAAGCTCAAAAAACAAGAGACCTGCCATGTCAGTTGATACAAAAGGAAATGTCAACTATTGAAGAGAAGTATGTTCCATACTTGCCATCAAAGGATGCCCTTCGCCAAAAAATTAAGCGTGCAAGACGTGCCGATAAACCATCTGAACCACAATCTTTGGAAGCAATAGATATACCTGAAATATTAACGAAAACTTTAAGTGGAGAATTGTTTCTTATACGTGATTCGGATATTGGAGATGATAGAACTCTTATCTTTAAAAAGAAAGAAAACATTTTGCGCCTATCTCAGGCAACTTATTGGATAATGGATGGGACATTTAAGACAGTCCCAACAATTTTTCACCAATTATATACCATTCATGCTCCAGTGGGACCAAACAAGGATAAAACAGTACCCCTTGTATATTCGTTGATGACAGGCAAAAGTGAAGCATTATACAAGAGACTGTTCCAAGATTTGATTGATTTTTCCGAAGAAAACGATGTGCGTTTGCAACCGGCTATAGTAATGACCGATTTAGAAATAGCTGCGATAAATGCTATAAAGTCTGAATTTCCGGGTGTCCGTAACAAAGCGTGTTTTTTTCATCTAGGACAATGTGGATGGAGAAGAATTCAGGCATCTGGACTTACAAGAAGATATGGTAGCGATGAAGAATTTAGTTTGTTGCTCCGCCACTTGTTTGCATTAGCGTTTATGCCACCGGAAGAAATACCAGCCGCATTTGACACCCTTAAACCACATATGCCACAGGAGGCAAACGATGTAGTTCTATGGTTCGAAGAAAATTACATCCACGGGAGAGTAAGACGCCATCTAAGGAATGGGGTGGCTCTTCGGAATTCACCGTTATTTCCACCAGAATTATGGTCCGTCTACGATTCTATGGAGCTTGGGTTTCCATGCACACAAAATATTGTGGAAGCGTGGCATAGAAGATGGGAAAATTTAGTTGGACGTGCACATGTTGGCCTATACAATATTATAGAAGAATTTCAAAAAGAACAGCGAAATGTAGAAAATATTTGTGAAAATTTGGTTCGAGGTGAAGGATGTTCAAAGCCTAAACAAGCAACAATTGATAGGGAAAAAAGGATTCTACACGTAATGGAAAATCGGTCTAATTTGACCTTATTACAATACCTACGGGGCATCGCCCACAGCGTTGCTTTGTAATAATATAAAAATAAGTATGTACTAATTTATAATAAATATTAATTTATATGATATCTATTTTATTTATTTCCCTTATATATAAAAAAGTTGAATATGTCGGGATTTTAACTTGCCGGGATTTTAACTTGTCGGGATTTTGACCTGTCGGGATTTCGTCTGTCGGGATTTCGTCTGTCGGGATTCTAACTGTCGGGATTTTGACCGGCACCCATCTCCTACAATAACAAAGTTACCCAGTGGTATCACCAACTTGGGACATACTGTATAATATACAGTGTATATACAGTGTGTCGCACTTAAGATGAAGACACCCCCATATTTTCGCTGTTTGAAGGAATAAAGGTTTGAATTTTTTCACATTCATACATGTTGATGGGTCACATTTTTTAAGCTACTCAACTGAAATTTGAACTTTAAACTTGGCCTACTACAAATTCACAAGCAGGGCCAGTTCTCGATATTTTGCTTCGCGTTAGAGATATCGAAAAAAGTTATTGGAAAAAGTTGTTCAGAATATTATTTTAACCCCATATCCCAATTTTTATAACAAAATTCGCATTTTTAATTTTTTTTATTTTGGTCCACACAAAATTATTAAAAGTTCATTTTTTAGTTTGATAATAAGGGAGCCATGGAAAGTAATAATTTGATACTAACTAGTGTTTATGACCGTTAAATAAATAATTAAAACAATTTTTGGAAATTACAAAACAATAATAAAACTAATAAAAATAAATAAATTAGAAATGCGAATTTTGCTATGAAAATCGGTACACGAGGTTAGAATAATATTCTGGACAACTTTTTCTAATAATTTTTTTCGATATTTCTAACGGGAAGCAAAATATCGACTGGCCCCGTTTGTAAATTCGTAGTAGGCCAAGTTTAAAGTTCAGATTTCAGTTGAGTATCTTAAAAAATGTGACCCACCAACATGTATGAATGTGAAAAAATTCAAATCTCTATTCCTTGAAATAGCGAAAATATGGGGTTGTCTTCATCTTAAATGCGACACACTGTATATTAGGGTGTGCTAAAAAAACTCAAAATTTTTTTTTCTTGCTCTCCACCCAAAATATCGTAGAATATGTCCGAAAAAATATCCTGTTAAAAGCGGAGCTCATAATTTCAATTTTAAGAGGTCCCTCATCGAATCTGAAGTTTTACCGCTTAAATAACACAGAAAACTGACTTTTTTACCTTATTTATTCTTGCAACCTATGAAGATTTTTTTTTTATAAAATCCATGACTAATTCTTACATATGAAGAATTTGGGAATAAAAAGAAAAAAATAATTGTTAAAAAGGTATGTATTTTCTCTTTATTAAATTTGTCTTTATGCACTATACAATTTTAGGATGGTCCCGACAAGAGATTCAGTCATTGGAAAAAGAATTTGGAAAAGAGATAGGTAATAAATGTTACCCATCATGTGAAAAAGTAAAAAAAAATTACCAGGACAGGTTATAAAAGAAGTTTGGCTGGTGTAAAATCTAAAATCCAGCACTTAATAAATTTATCTAAGAAAAAGTAGAGTATGTAAAAATTTTTTTTAAACGTATACGTTTAAATAATTTGCTATAGCATAAATAAACAATATTACCTACTTCTACATCTGACTTTGTTTTAAAACACCTAACTGCAGTAAGCACATACATGTATTTGTATAATTATATTTTCCAATTAATTTCATTGAAAGAATAATAGTATATTATAGGAGACGTAAGTGGCATATTACGCTTTTAATTGCTTTACATCTTGCAAATGTACTACTATACTTTATCTACGACTGCATTCATTTTCAACCCTTTTATTACTCATTTTATTTTTATTTTATTTGAAAATGACAGTTCTGACAAATATTTACTTGATGTCTCTATCATAACTTGGCAATAAACTAAACAAACAAAAATTTCCTAGCACAACTGCTATAGTTACAGTTGTACTAGGGAATTTTTGCTTGTTTGGTTTTTTACTAACGATATGGTGGAGCGGAGGCCTATAATCGTATATAATTGAGCGAAACACAAAAAGACACTTTTAGCCGCATGGCATACAACATTACAGTAATAATAATAGCTATTAAAAGTTAAAAGTGACGTTAGATTGGATCTGACAGTAGTCAATTTTTTTTATTGGTTTACTGGTTTCAAACCAGGGGGTTAAAAAATCTTTACCCAAATGATCTAAATTATTTTTACAGTCAGGTTTACAGGTTTTTTCATTAAACATAAAATAAATTAAATATACTGTTGTTAGTGAATTGTCTACTAGTCTAATAAACATTAATTTAATTTTACTGTCCGTTCTTGCACAATTAAATACATGTATTTTCTCAATTCGGTAGCCACTCTGTACGAACAAACGGCAAGCCGCGGCACTGATAAATAATCTTCTTGTTACCGAAATCTCACGACGATTCGATATAAAATTTAATTAACGGCCACATGATCCCCCACCTCTTTTGATTTTCTGAATCTTCACAAAATTATTAAGGGATTACCTTGGAATACATTTTGCGAGTTCTAACTATACTACCAATCTGCGATCTATCTGAACTCTATACGATTAAAGAATCTACTTGCAAATCTACTAAAAATAAAGGCATCAGTTGTATAGAAGAACTCGAAGAATTCATACAAATACCTTCAAGTTTACTGAACAAGGAGACAAGGAAGAACGTAGAACCAAAACCTGAAATTGACGATGACGATAAAGTACTCTCCGATATACTTGATTTTGTGGTGGAAATGAAAGAGCTGGCCCAATTTCAGGTGCAACATAATGTACCCGGTTATATTTTAAACAGACAGTACTACAGACCACCCATGCAAGTGCAAGATATGAAAAGGTTGGAATCCGGAACGGACGAAACCAACGACTCACCTTTCACCTCAGAAGAAATTCAGGAAGCCATAGATAGCCTCGAGGATATGAAGAGCCCAGGAATAGATGGAGTAACAGCCAGAGTAGTAAGATACCTTCACAAGGAACACGGGGAAACGATCAAACACATATTCAATAAAAGCCTTGAACTAGGAACCTTCCCTAAGGTATGGAAAACGGCAGAGGTAAGATGGCTACCGAAGCCAGACAAAAAAGGGTACAGACCAATATGCCTGATGCCGATGCTGGGGAGAGTGCTGGACAAACTGGTCTGCCTTGTCTTAATCCGTATTGCTCGTCCGATAGTCCATTCTTTGTTTCCAGGTGGTAGGATATCCAGAGCCTATAGAACCACACCAACAAGCGCACTGCAAGTGTTGACAGGATGCCCGCCAAACATCAAAACAGGTTGCTCGATAGAGCAGAGAAAGATTGCAGAAATGTCGACAGACCTCACCCGCAAGAAAGATACAAGCACGATACAAGCACGGATAGAGTAGCAACAAAAAGAATATACGTGGACGGTAAAGCAGGAATTGGAATCAGGGCGATAGAAGATGATAGAGTGACAGAAAGGTCACTAAGACTTACAGACGGCACAACATCCACGCAAGCCGAGACGGAAGCGGTACTTTACGCATTGGACATGGCCCGGGTCAACGACACCACCACCACCAACATATACACCGACTCTAGGTACGTCACAGATAACATTGGAATGACAACAAGGTGCAGAAACATCAAAATAATACAAATAGGCAAAACACTCACCAACAAGCCGGAAATAAGAGTCATTTGGACAAGGCGAGACTCGACCCAAATAAAACGGGCTGACTACCTAGCAACACAAGCGAGGGAAAGAGAGGCAATAGACATAGCAGTAAAACCCACTAAAAAAAAACAGTAGCAGCATGGAAAAAAGAAGACATAATTATAGATTGGCAAAATGAATGGACCAACAATGACACCGGAAGGACTACTCATAGACTCTTTCCTCTAGTCAGCACGAAAAGGGTCGAACTAACGAGGACGGAGAGCACGTGTTGCAAAGGTGCGCCCTGCAGCATAGGATGGATGCAAGAGAGAACCTTGAACGCAACAATGTAGAGAATATGGACTGGGGACAAGAAACGGAGCGACTCAATACTTTCGCCAGCCGTGCAATGGTCCCATAAAAGACCCTGGAAATAAATAAGAAACGGATATGACAAAAAAAAGGGAAAAAAGAGGTCACAGCAGGCGAAAGCCCCGCTAATTTTTGGAGAGTGGAGTTGGGATGGTGTTCCCTTAACAGAGTTTCGTTAGACAGGGGGGAGGGGTTAAAAAGGCTTAATGTCAAAAGACGGGAGAGCCAGGTTGGAGATGGTTGCAAAACCATCACAAAACCAAAAAAAGGAGGAAAGGAAAGGATAAGACCCATTTTTAAAATTTAAGCACGTTAGGTTCTATGTCCATATACCTATATAAAGAAACTTGTGGCATTTAAGTAATACAATAAATAATATTTCCAAAATTAAAACAACTGAAACTTTCATTGTGTAATCTCCGATTTTCTCCCTGAACTCTATACGATTAAAGAATCTACTAAAAATGAAGGCACCAGTTTTAAGAGCTCGAAGAATTCATACAAATACCTTCAAGTTTACTGAACAAGGAGACAAGGAAGAAAGTAGAACCATAACCTGAAATTGACGATTCTTGGTCAGTTTGATGTACATCCCACAATATCACTCCTTTGGGCATCTAGAATCTGTCAGGAAAGTGCTGAAATCACTTTCACCCATTCAAAATGCATATTACACAAGAGCTTGGCGATGATGAGGCAGACAGGCGTTTAGAATGTTGTGAAATCATGACCAAAAAAATAACAAATCAGATCAAAATACTAAAAAACATTTGCTTTAGCGATTAGTGTTCTTTTTATTTAAATGAAAATCTTAACAAACATAATGTTGTTATTGAAGCAATGAAATTCCTCATCTCATTAAAGAAAATCATACCCAATATCCTGAAAAACTTAATGTTAAGAAATAATTTTGGGAGTTTGTAGTATCGGTCCCTTATTCATTAACCAAAATTAAAATGATTTTTTTTTAAATACTAGATAAATGCAGCCAATAATAATAAATAAACTAGAAAATCAAAGAGGAGAGGATGATGAACTAGCTTTGAATGAAAATTAATTACATTTTTAACAAGAAAGGGGACCACCTCATTATGTAGTCGCTGTTAGGGCTTGGCAGGCAGAATTATCCAGAACAGTGAATTGGACTTTTTCTAATGGGGTCACTTAAAATCTGTGGTCTACAAAACTAATTCTATGAAAGATTCAAGTATAGTTCAAGAATGCCGAGCTATTGCTTACATAATAAAGAATAATGGCATTTGAGCATTTAATTTAACAGCTAAAAGTGTTTTAATTATTAATAAACAATTTCATGCATAATTTACAACCAAATGCAAAACAAACCATCATTGTATTTTAATACAAAACAAACTTGTTATATAAAATTGATTTTGCTACAATATTTATATAAACAAATTGTTTTATAATACTGTGAAAACAGGGCTTCACAAAATTATTAAGGGATTACCTTGGAATACATTTTACGAGTTCTGACTATACTACCAAAAGGCATTTATGATACACGGCAGTTACCGCCCTTTTGCAAATTTACTGTTTCGCGACCCGAAAAAGTCCGGATAACATGCTGATGTTTTGTCATGATAGTATAATTTTTATAATGTCATATTGAAATTTAAATATCAGAAGTGGGATAGACAAATAGTTTGTTAAAATTTTAAATCTCTTTTAGAGAATTTTGTAAATGTAAAATTTTACTAGAATGAACAACATGTCCAAAATTAAACTATTTTAGTTTCAGAAGTGTTTCATAATATATTATATTGTTCGGTTGAGGCTAAAATGTTATAAATTAGTGAATTATTACGCAGAAAAGGTTTTCACGAGTAAGAACTATTAATTTCAGTAACTGAAAGGGTCAGTCCATATGAAATCAACTAATTATGGTTGTATTAATTAATTTTTTAATGGGTCAGCCTATTTTGCATTTTTAGTTCAAGCAATCTTAATCAAAAAAAAATTTTGTTGTTGAAAATCGTTTAATATAACATAATTTTTTGTAGAAAACCAGGGTTTGTAGTTTTTTAACAAAGAAAAATATTTTACCAAAAGTTTTGTAAAGCTAATATGCAATTTTGTAAGCATTTTGTTAATTTCAAACGTTATTTTGTTAATGTTTGACCAATTATTTCGTTGAAAAAGTGCACGTGATTTCAGGCAGTCAACCAAAACAAGTTCAACTAATTTCAGCGTCTGCAACTTATGTTTCTGCCTACTTTTTTGTTATTTGTAACGTGTTCGTAATAACTGTCCATAGTGTTTATAATATATTACCAGAAATCTGTTATTGTTATTCGGATTCCTTATACCTATTTAAAGAGTGTGCAAAGTGCGAATTATCCAAAAAAAGATATCACTGGTTTTCAAACTAAAATTAGGGGATACAGTAAAGTGGATTAAAGTTACGAAATAGCAGAGTAAGTGTTGTAGTTTTATTAAAAATTGTATTGTAACAAACTTCTTTATAATTGGATGATTTCAAAATGGTGTGTTATTTAATTATGTGTATATTATTTTTGTGTTCATTTATGTGAGCATGTATAATTTTTTTGTTTAGGAAATTGATTAATAAAGCAACATTTCTTATCAAAATTCTTTTTATTTAAGTTCCCAATTTCCAACAAATACTTTTGTTACTGGGTCTACAAAAATGTTTCTAAAAATAAGGTCCTTCTTGAAAATTACAAGAATTATGGTTTAATTATTGACAGGATTTTATTATTAAATCTACAATATATTTTTTATAATTGCAAACTACTTATTCAATTAGTTAACAGATTACAGTTGATTGTAAACTTAATATAAAGTTATGTGGACCTGGATTAACATAAAATCTGGTTAAAATTAACAAATATTTTTTACTGTGTAGAAGCATTTTCCTATAAGCTATATAAATTCTTTTTAATATTATCACTGAACGTTTTTGATCTATCCAAACATATTCAGGTAAAAAGATTATAATTAACAACGAATAAAAACATTTTACCTGCCTAAGCAATGTTTTTCCAAATTTACGTAGGTATCACTTTAGACATAACAAATAATTCAACTAACTAATTAAGCTTTTCCAAGACCTGATGGAGTTAAAGTCAAATAGACTGAACTCCAGGTGGGTAGAATCTAAGTTTTTGATTGTAAAAAACCATTTCTCCCCCCCATTCTACCAAGAGGCAACACACACGTAGGTATCAAATTGACAAACTTATATACCTACAATTGTATATATATATTAGGGTGTCCCTTATTTTTTATTTTTTCACGCATACCCTCTAATTATTTTTATTACGTGTTTATATACTCCCAGTAAAAATTTCAACTCATTCTATAAACGGGAACCCGTGCCGACTTGCATCTGAACCCTCCGTTAGCCAACGTTAGGCGCGCGGTATTTTGTAACACGGTTGGTCGCGAGGTCTTCGATCGTAAGTCATTTTGTGTTTGTTATTATGTGACCCTTATATTATAAATTATTAAAAAATGTTAAAATTTAGTTTTATTTATGTGTATACTTTTATAAAAATGTATATTTTCACAGAGAGTGGCTAGTTACCCGGAAGTGAATAGGCCGTAAACTCTGAAATTGATAAACTTAATGGGTTTTACTCTAAATAACTAAAAGAGTCTATTGTGAGAGATGACTACCGAAAACTTATTGAACTGTCTGAAATATTTTTGGGAGGACATCAAGAAAAGAAATGCTTATAAAAAGCTGAAATTTCATATAACAGTATATTTTAGCAATACTAATTAGTATATTAATATATTTAAGGGATAAAATCAACCAATTTTTTTTTTGGTTATTTTTTAATGGTCATTCAGATATAATAAAAAAAAGAATTTCGGGTAATTAGTTTTACGGCCTATTCACCCGACACTTCTGGGTAACTAGCCACTTCCTGTAAAAATATTCATTTTTATTAAAGTATACACATAAATAAAACTATATTTTAACATTTTTTAATAATTTATAATATAAGAGTCACATAATAACAAACACAAAATGACTTACGATCGAAGACCTAGCGGCCAACCGTGTTACAAAATACCGCGCGCCTAACGTTGGCTAATGGAGGGTTCAGATGCAAGTCGGCACGGGTTCCCGTTTATAGAATGAGCTGAAATTTTTACTGGGAGTATATAAACAAGTAATAAATATAATTAGAGGGTATGCGTAAAAAAAATAAAAATAAGGGACACCCTAATATATATATATATATATATATATATATATATATTTTTTATAAGCTTCACTAAATCACTTATTCTTAAACAAATCAACAAAAATGGTGTTCCATAGCGAAACTTTCTGCGATCTATCTGAACTCTATACGAATAAAGAATCTACTTGCGAATCTACTAAAAATGAAGGCATCAGTTTTATAGAAGAACTCGAAGAATTCATACAAATACCTTCAAGTTTACTGAAGAAGGAGACAAGAAAGAACGTACAACCAAAACCTGAAATTGACGATGACGATAAAGCACTCTCCGATATACTTGATTTTGTGGTGGAAATAGAAGAGCTGGCCGAGAAAAGACGTTCACTAAAGCAACCAGAACAATTTCAGGTACAACATAATGCACCCGGTTATATTTTAAACCGACAGTACTACAGACCACCCATGCAAGTGCAAGATATGAAAAGGTTGGGATCTGGAAAAGAGAAGACCCATCAGTGTGTGAGTTGTGATCTTTGGTTCACCAGCGCAGGTTTCTTGCAGAGGCATTTGAAATCTACCGTCCATAAGAACAGGTCTTATTGT